AGGAACCAAATTCCAAAGCCAGATCCTGGATAAAAAGGTTTGGTTGCGGTCCGGCTCGGGTGGGATCCGTCCCCGTCGGGTCGGGTCGTGACAGGAGGTCAGAAAGACTGTAGTCGACGGGCGACATAAGTCAGGAGGACCATAGTCGGCTGACGACCGAGGTCAGAAAGATTGTAGTCAGCGGGCGACGTAAATCATGAGGACAGTAGTCGGCGGGCGACGGAGGTCAGAAAGACTGTAGTCGGCGGGCGACATAAGTCAGGAGGATCGTAGTCGGCTGGCGACGGAGGCCAGAAAGATTGTTGTCTGAGTCTCTGACGACAAAGGTCAGAAGGACTGTGTTAGGTAGAAGTCCAACAATGAAAAGAAATCTATCTTCAGATAGACATCCAATGAAAGTCCGATAACTGGTAGAAGTCCGACGTCGGGTAGAAACTTGGCGATGAATGAAGGTCCGGCGTTGGGTAAAAATTCGACGTTTGTTGGTGGCGAGGAGAACTCCGATATCACTTGGGCCGAGTTTCGGCGTCAGGGGGGAACTCTGTCGTTACCTGGGAAGAATTTCAGTGTTCAGTGGAAGTCGGGCAGAATTCTGGCATCCAGTGGAAGTCGAGGCAGAATTCTGGTGTCCCGTGGAAGTCAAGTAAAATTCCAGCGTCATTTAGAGTTCGGGCTGAACTCCGGCGGTGGTCGAGGAGGAGTCTCTTCCCTCCTATTCTTCCCTTCTCCTATTATTCTTCTTGCTTTTTGCTTGGGCCCCCTCTCATGAGAAATGAGGGGTCTATTTATAGATATTATGGAGTGGCATGACTTATAAATAGGAGAGAGATCAGGGGTAAATAGGGAGTGATCGGATGGAAGACCGATATTGAATCCTTTGATCGTAGACCGTTCGTCAAGCATTTAAAGAGCTTAATGATGTCGTAATTCGGCAATCTTGGGCTCGTTGGATTCTTCTCGTCGAGCCGATTGATTCGACTATAAGCACGTCATTTTTTAAAACCATTTGGTTACTCAAATTATGGTTCGAATCTTCTAACAGCTCTTCGGGTCTTCGATTTGGCTTCATTTGGGCTCGGATTGAGTCGAATTTGGTGTCGTTGGGTTCGTATTTCCGAGACAATCAGTTCGACTATAAGTTTGCTGAAATCGGAGTTCAGATGATTCCAGATTTAATTTTTGAAGTCTCTAACTTGTTTTTTGCCTTAAGATTCGTGCTCGATTAAGATGATTTTTCGAGGATATATCAAGCTTATTATTATTTTTTATAATCTCTTAGCTATAATATTTAAGTTTTTTTATAAAAGATAAGAAAGATTATACTCACAAGGAAAAAAAAGGGAAAACATATTAAATGAATTATTTTTTCAGTTAAAAATGGGTTTGTGGGTCAACATGATCCTGACCCGTTTTTATATATATATATATATATATATATATTGGGATAGTTATGGGATTCGAACGCGAGTGTGATGGGTTGAATTTCTTCCGTCGACCACTCGGCCGCAGACCCAATCTCAACACCCATATTTTATTGGATCTAACTAAGATAAATTTTATTTAAAAAATATTATATTGGAATCTCAATCAAATCATATTAAAACCCTATTCAATTTATTTTTGAGCTATATTTAACGAACTTTGGATCCTATTTACTCAATTTTATACTTTGCACTTCAAATAAATAGTTCACAATAAAAGATAAATATATTTTAGTTAAAAAAATTAATAATGAGCAAATTTAATAAATAGGGCGTGAAAAGAGATTTTTCTGAAATACTCTCCGGTGCTGCACTTCCAATCGATATCTCGTCAGGGTGAATAGGTTTGTAGATCTGTCGTTTGATTCTGCCATGAAGCTGGTAGGCTCTGATCTCTTTCTCCTCTTCCCTGAGCTAGTAAGAGTTTTTAGGGTTTCTAATCCTTTCCTTTGTGAAGACATGTTTGAGCAAAGGGAGTGGCGTCCATTTCCCGCCCTGCCACATGGTCGAGCTTTGTGGCCTTCGCCTCCTCCTCGAGTGCCCCATTGATCTCTCAGCCCTTAATATATTCAGCCCGATCTCAGCTGGCCGTCAGACTGATCTATCGGGATTCATCAGTGCCGAGCCGTGGTATAAAACAGCTAAGAACCTGCACCTTTGTGATGCGTCCCTCATCGATGTCGTCCTCATCTCCTCCCCTGCCGGGATGCTCGGGATGCCGTTTCTCACTCGAAACCCTAGATTTTCTGCTAAGGTGAGTTGAAAGTGTTTACCTTTGTAGGATTTTTCACTTTTATGGTGGGATTATTCCGACATACGTTGGTTTTTATGCAGATATATGCCACGGAGGCTACAATGAGAATTGGTCGTCTCATGATGGATGATCTTGTATCAATGCATTCCGAGTACGTTATGTTTTATGGTGATGGTGAGAGGACGGGTTTGCCAGAGTGGATGGGTTGGGAAGAACTCGGAAGGCTTGCCTTCAAGGCAAAGGAAGCGGTGATGGGAGAGGATGGGGAGGAGCTTGGCTGTTGGCTGCCTTTGTACAGGTTGCCTTCTAATTTATCTCGCAGTTTTGGAAATTGAGCCTTAATTATTATGGCATGCATGCTGTCTCTTTGAGCTGCTTGACCTAAAGAGAAAACACGATCCATGTTATGAACATGTCGAATTCATTTCGATTGTTCTCATTTTTAGTTATTTTCTGCTTTGTTTTTTCTTTTAGTTATTCTCTACTTCGTTTTTTCTTTTAGTTATTTACTGCTTTGTTTTCTCTCTCTAGCTGACTTGATTGTCAGATGCCATATTTTATTTTCTATGTTAGTGCAGCCGATGTTAATGGCTGCATGGAGAAGGTCCAGCCTCTGAAATATGCTGAAGAAGCTTGCTATAACTCTACGTTAGTGTTAAAAGCATTTAGTTCAGGTTTGGAGATTGGAAGCTGCAATTGGAAAATAAATGCTCCAAGAAGGAACTTTGTTTATCTTTCGAGTTCCATTTTTGAGTCCGCTCAAGCAATTGATTTTGATTATCGTTCACTTCAGGGAGCCGATATAATTTTGTTTTCTGACATGTCAACCATAAATAATATAGAAGAAGACTTTAATCATATTGGTGGGAGCCAAAGCGACGTAAACAAGGATGATAAAGATTTGATTCTAGGTGATGCTTCAATCCCCAGGTAAATACACCTCTCATTTTAAAATTGTGTTGAGCTAAATAAAGCTTGTTGAAATTGCTAACACATGCACTTAATTTATATTAATTAACATGTTGTAGGCCAGTTTTGGCTGAGGATGACACTTCTGAACTTTTGATGGACAACTGTGAAATTTTAGAAGAGAATGACAAAATGAGCTTTATAACTTCCTATATCATAGATTCTGTTAGGGAAGGAGGTTCTGTACTGATTCCAATAGGTCGACTTGGAGTAGCACTTCAGCTTTTGGAGCAGATTTCTGACTTGCTAAAATCTCTTAGTATGGAGGTACTCATCAGTTATTGTGTATTTATCTTCCTTAGATATTTGGCCCTAGTTAATTTATACTGGCCCTCACAGATATATTGGTTTGTTTGTTCCATTGATGGTAATGCTAAGATTATAGTAGATTGAAATTGTTTTTTCCTATTAGATATAGTTTGGAAAGGTTTTACAATTACCAACATGGTGAATGAAAATATCTTTGCTTTGCTTATAATTATGTGATAATCAAGTAGAAGCTTTCAATTTTTTGTTAATGTTATCAAATGAAGGGCTTCAAAGCCAGCCATGTGTCACAGTTGCAAGCATTTATTTGCTTGAATGTGAGAAAAATGGAATCATTTTTTGGAAGACAAGGGCAAGGAGAGCTATATTAAGATAATATTAATGAGCAAAATCACGCTGATATGAATTCAAAACAACAAACACAAAAATGCATGCATGCATAAATTTATATGGTTTGTTGAGATCTACCTATGTCCTCTACTATGTAGAAGTTGAATAGTTTACTAAACTTCAAAAGAGTTATATAGAGAGATGAAACTTCATAAAAAAGTTGAGTTGAGGATAGTGTTATCATTTTGTTTATATTAATGATTGAGAGAGGATGCAATTACTTGCTGTGAAGATGAGGGTTGGATATGGAGAAGATGCTTAGCACCACCCATGTAGCTTTTAGTTTAACTACAAGAGAGAAAATTTTAGTAAAGTGAATACCTTCCTTCCATTGGACACCTTTTCCCACAAATCTTCTCTTTTATCTTCTTGTGCTATTATGACCCTCATTGATTTTGTAGATCCATTTATTTTGTAGGGCTTTCTTATTTTTGGGTACCTTAGCCAATTTTCAGGTTTTGTTTTTTTAGAGATAATCATATCTTCTTTCGTTAAAAGCTCCCACTTGATGAATTTTTAGCCTATGTAGCTTCCTTTGTAGAATTTAGGTTCACTTGCATCGGCAAACTGATGCAGTAAAAAATTATCATTTTATATATATATTTTTTATTTTCCTATATTTTGGACACTGTAATTTTGGACTCTATGTTTTTTATTTTTGTATTGCTCTATAATTGAAAATAGCCCATGATCTTGCTTGGGTTTGGTGCTCTCAGGTTAGTACTCTTCATTGCCTTTCCTCTTGTGTTTTCTTGCTCCCTTTCTCCTGTGCATTTTCTTTTTTCGTACTATTTGCGTGGGTTATATGCCTGCTGGCTCTCTATTTCTGTGTTAGCTCTTAGTTTCTCTGCCTGCTGGCTCTTAGTTCTCTGCTGGCTGTCGGTTGGCTCTTGGCTTCCCTGTTGCTGGCTGCCGGTTGTGCTGCTGACTGTTCAATTTCCGTTTTTTATTATTCCTATGCTAAGTGTTTTGAATTCTCATTAAGTGGGCTATCTTGAATAGCTTATATTGGCTGTTTTGGTGGCACATTTATGTGAGCAATATATGGTCATTTCCCCCTTCTTCTCCTATATAATATGACTGATTTGCTACTGAAAAATGTTTTTGTGATTGGTGAAAACAAATGTAAACTTGAGGGTTTCTTAGCTTGCGAGCTAGTACTCTCCCTATCCTCTAATACTTCGTCTCGGTCTTCTTTCTACTTCTTCTCTCCTCGGTTTCCCTCACCTACATCTTTCTTCTCTTCAATTAAAGCGAAAAAAATTTGAGGATTTCTTAGCTTGCGAGCTTGTATTCTCCCTAAAACTTATTATTTTGTCTTCTTCTCTCAACGTTTTCCCTTCCATCAGTATCTTTCTTCTTTAAATATTGTGAGTTGTAAGGTGTTTTGTGCCCTGTTCTATTAGTATTTTATGGAGGAGCATTGGCCTGTGCTGGATCTTAATTCCTGTGGTGGATCTCTGGTTTATCATTTCCTTTGAGCACCTTTTTCAATTTTGTGATTTGCATGTGAGGTGACCATACATGATTGATCTGAGAGTATTTTAATTTAGTTGTTGGTTTCTTGTGTGTCTTCCTAACTAATTGCCCATCTTTATTTCCTACTTAGTTTCCATCATTTGTGTTTGTTTATGCGATATTGAAAGTAAATGTTTTAGTTTACATACCTAGTGTTTTCCTACTTGGTTAAGAACTTAGGTTGCATCACAAACAATAAATATTATAAATCTTATCAGGATTGTGCAACAAGATTAACATGTTCCAAATCTTATCTCAATTATTTAAATTATAGAAATTGACAGATTACTGTGGTACCATCTTTTTTAAAAGTACTGGCTGTTCCTATCAATGTTTCAGAACGAATTTTTCTATAAATTTGCAGGAATCGATGAAAATGCTAAATTACCTACCATTTAAAGGCTGCCATTTAGTGCAGTGACATTCTGGCCCATGAAGTGGCTAATTATCAGAATGCTGAAACAAGATTTACATGTCCCACATCTTATCTCAACTTATTTATAACCATGGAAACTTGACAAATTTGTTTGGTGCCATCTTTTATTTAAGTAATGGTTGTCTAAAACTTATAGCATAAATCCTTTAATCATTTTTCTAATTTTGCTGCTTTCTGGTACATAAAAGTCATACAAGTTGTGATCTTGGATGTGTAACGAGAATCTGAAACTCAATTTATCCTGCGTTCTTGCTTTCAAAATTTTGAGGCGACTCTTCCTAATTTATTCAACAAATTGAGACTTTTAGCCTTTTCACATGCATCTTTATAGATTATCTTTTGATTTTTGAATTTTCTATGACGTAAATGCTTACCACACCATTCGATTGAATTAGGTACCTATATTTATTATCTCCACAACTGCGGAGCAGACACTGGCATTTACTAATGCTATTCCAGAATGGCTTTGTAAGCGACGCCAAGAAAAGGTTTAATCTACTGCCACTACTCCCAATTTGTAAATATAAATGTTTTTTTTTTTGAATTATGACAAGCTCGTTCAATTTTATGTATGTCTCTGTCGGTATAATTTTATAGCTATTCTGCGGTGAGCCATTATTTGGTCATGCTGAGCTCATGAAAGAGAAAAAGCTTCATGTGTTTCCTTTGCTTTACTCATCAGATTTACTGTAAGTTTTTTTATCTTCTAAATTTTATGCATGTTGATATGACTAAACGTATTTATGGAAAGTTTTACCTGAATGGTTGAATGTCCAATACTATGCTTATTATTTGAGTCGTATGTTCACTAATTCAAGCTCTTGATGACATAAAAATATGTTTTTTGGGTTAGGTGGATTAAGAGGTGGGACTATATATTTGCTTTACAAAAATTGGATTGTGAATGAGACATTGAGCTATGTTGTGAAGTTTTGGGAACAAGTTGTCAATAGGAAACTGCAACCACCTTTCCTTCTTAAATGCATTTGATTTGGCAGAATGAACTGTTGACCTCTATGTAAACTCCCTCGCCGAATAAGAAAAGCGAGTGGAGGCCGAGGCCGGATTTTCGGAGCCCACATGAACAAATCACGTATTAAAATGTTTTTTTTTATAGCTATATTTTCTTTATGTTTTAAGAGAAAAACAAAATCTAGATGTTAAATTGACCTTAATTCATCGAAATTAGTGTTTGATAGTTGCTAAATTCTCAAGGAAAATGGCTGTGCTGTTAGAATAACAGATTTGTTGAATTCTTCTTCTTGCAGTGGGAAATGTTATCAATAACTGATCAATGTCATCTGGAATTAGCATATTAAAAAAAAAAAGTCATCTGGAATTAGCATATCGTGTAGCATTCAAGAATTTATGGAGGTGTTATAAAAAATTTAACCACGAATAATTGAAATAAGGTCGATGATTACTTGCTTATCTCGTCTATGTGCCCTATCTATTAAACAAATTGATCTGTAATTAATTTTTCTGCTTGAAAAGTTGAAGAGCTACTTCAAATATGGTTAGGCATTTTTGGGGTGGCTTATGCTTTTTTGCTTTTATACTTCTCTGATCTCAATTTCTATTGTGCGCCTCCCACTACAGGAAAAACACTGATTTCCGGCGGCATTTTCCGGCGAATTTCCGGCGGCCATGTTTTCGGCGGCTTTTAGACTTTTTTCCGACGGTTTTCCGGCGGTCACTTTTCCGACGGCTTTTTAACGTTTCCGGCGGCTTTTAAAAATTTAATAAAAAAATGAATAAAATTTTAAGCATTTAAATGATTTAACAAAAAAATATTAAAAGTTAAAATAACTATTAACTTAATTTTCATCTTAAAATTAATTAGTTAGTTATTTTTTAATCCGGCACACGTTATGGTATGCTAACATCCCCCCTCAGATTGATCATCCAAGCTGGTGATGGTCAATTTGGAGCGTAGGTCTGCAAAGCGTTTGCCGGTGAGAGGTTTGGTAAGGATGTCGGCCGATTGGTCAAGAGAGTTTATGTGTGTGATTGCAACGGCTTGACGCTGAATATGATCACTGATGAAGTGATGATCAATTTTGATATGCTTGGTCCGGGCGTGAAAAATTGGATTGTTGGATAGAGCAATCGCCGAGACATTATCGCAGAAGATTGGAGTTGGTTTGGACTGTGGTGCTGAGAAGTCATTGAGCAAGCGTCTGAGCCAGATTACATCAGATGTGGCTGCTTCTAGTGCACGGTATTCCGCCTCCGTGGAGGATTTGGCTACCGTTGTTTGCTTCTTAACACTCCAAGAAATGAGGGTGGATCCAAGATAGGAGCAGAAACCTGTGATGGATTTTCGATCTTCGGTATTCGATGCCCAGTCAGCGTCGGCAAATGTTGTGAGAACTAATGGACCGGTTGTGATCGGCAAACCGTGAGTTTGAGTTCCCTTGATATAACGCAAGAGGCGTTTCAGTCGTTGGAAGTCCGACACAGTGGGACAGTGCATCTGCTGACATATTAGATTTGTAGCAAGGGCAATGTCTGGCCTCGTTACTGTGAGATATTGAAGTGATCCCGCTAATTGTCGGTATTGAGTTATGTTGTCGTGAGGAGCTGTGTCTGAGGAAGTTTTGGAGTACTTTGCTGAAATTGGAGAGCTGACTGGTTTGAAATTGTCTAGACCTGCTGAATGGATGAGCTCGCGAGCATAGTGCGACTGGTGGAGGAACAGGCCATTGGTGGTTTTCTGAATCTGAATGCCGAGAAAGAGGTCTACATTCTGCATCTTTTTCAGACTGAAGGTTTGTTGAAGCTGATTTAGTAGTGTCTGCATTGTTGGAGGATGATTACCGGTAAGAAGAATATCATCTACATATGCGAGAAGATAGATGCTGATGCCATTTGAGTTGTAAAGCAGCAAAGACGGATCGGCTTTGCTGAAGTGAAAACCGAAGGCAATAAGAAAGGATGTCAGTTTTTGAAACCATTGTCTTGGGGCTTGTTTCAGCCCATAGTTGCTTTGACAAGCTTGCAGACATGGTTAGGGAGTTTAGGATCTATGAATCCTTGTGGTTGCAGCATGTAAACATCCTCTTGAAGCTCTCCATGTAGAAAGGCATTGTTGATGTCTAGTTGATGGATCGGCCAGCCCCGATGAGAGGAGATAGCAAGTAGGACACGAATAGTTGGCATTTTAGCCACTGAACTGAAGGTCTGCTCATAGTTTATACCTTGTTGTTGTTTGAACCCTTGAGCTACAAGTCTCGCTTTGTAGCGGGCAATGCTGCCGTCAGGGTTGAGTTTGGTTCGGAAGGTCCATTTGGACCCGAGAACTGGAGTATTGGGAGGAAGCGGAGTGAGCTGCCAGGTGCCTTGGCGCTGAAGTGCCATGAATTCTTCGGACATGGCTTTACGCCATTGAGGGAGTTGCAATGCTGCCTTGTAACTGGTAGGAGAGGACCTAGAATCCTGTACAGCAAGTAAATCAAATACCTTCTTTGGTTTGAGATGGCCGGTTTGACGTCGAGTGAGCATTAGATGAGTGGGCGCGGGAATTGTTGGATTTGAATTGGTAGAGGGAATGGGATGAGGTGAGGGGGAGGTAGGTTGGATAGAGATTGCTTCATTGGGTTGTGAACTGGAGGGTGCGGTAGGTGGTGTAATGATTGTTGATGTGGTTAGTTGAGAAGGAACAGATGTGGGAATTAGTAGGAGAGGAGGTGTGGCCGTGGGGGTGGAGGGTAGAGGAGCTGACTGGGTTTTGGTGAATGGAAATTGATGCTCGTCGAAGGTAACATGCCGGGAGATGTGAAGTTTTTGATTGGAGGGGTTGTAACATCTATAGCCCTTATGGGAGGTGGAATAACCGAGAAATATGCACGGTTGAGACCTTGGTTCAAGTTTGTTGGAGGTTTGAGGTTTTAACCAGGGAAAGCACAAGCAACCAAATACTCTAAGATGATCGAATGTTGGGGGCTTGTTGTGTAGAAGCTGATAGGGTATAGAGTAGTTAAGGGAGGAAGTTGGTAGTCTATTGATGAGGTAATTGGCTGTTTGGACAGCCTCAGCCCAGTAGGTAGCGGGAAGAGAAGAATTGTGAAGCAGGGTGCGCGTTGTTTCTAGGAGGTGACGGTGTTTTCTCTCCGACACTCCGTTTTGCTCCGGTGTGTAGGGGCAACTGAGTTCATGGCGAATCCCATGATTAAGTAGAAAGTTTTTGAAGTCAAGGCTGATGTACTCGCCTCCTGCGTCTGATCTTAGACATTTTATTTTTGAGTTGAATTGTGTGTTAATTAAGTGATAGAATTGCTGAAATTTAATGTTGGTTTCATTTTTTGTAGTCATAAGATAAAGCCAGCAAAAATGAGTATAGGCATCAATGAAGACAACATTATAACGGAAACCCGAGAGAGAGGGAGTCGGTGAGGGACCCCAAACGTCTGTGTGTATTAAACTAAATGGTGTAGTTACATAGTTTGCTGATTTGGGAAAAGATAACTTGTGGCTTTTAGCCACTTTACAAGAAATGCAATGAAAATCAGCTAGTTTAAAGCTGGAATTTAAAAAGCTAGATAGTTTGGCCATCGATTGAAGATGAGGATGTCCAAGTCGAGCATGCCAGAGGGCTGTGGAGTTGCCCTTGGTGGAGAGTGCGTGAATTGGATTGGATGCAGGAAGATGGATTGGATAGATGCCATCTTGATTACGTCCATGGAGAAGGATTTTGTGATCCTGGAGATCCTTGAGAATGAAACCGGAAGAATCAAATGAGATAGAGCAATTATTGTCTTTAGTTAGCTTTGAAATGGAAAGAAGATTGTGAGCTAAGGAGGGTACATGAAGCAAATTTTGGAGTTTGAGCTTACGGTTAGAATCTGGGAGTGGGAGGATGCCGGCTCCAGAGTGATGAATAGGAAGGGATGTTCCACTTGCTGTAGAGATTGTGTCCTGACCATTGTAAGGCGTGGGGTATTGCAGATTTGCGATGTCCGGAGTTAAATGCGTGGACGCTCCAGAGTCTAATACCCAGTCGGAGGTAGCAGTTGATGGCTGGGTTGGCATTTGAGTGAGTAGAGCACGGTTGGGCACAGGCGATGGAGTGTATGAGGAGTTGAATCGGTGCCAACAGACCGCTGCAGTGTGTCCGGTTTTGCCACAAATTTGGCACAGGGGTCGATCTGTGGATTTGGCAGCTGAGAGAGTTGTTCGGGAAGCTGCATTGTTGGGATTGAATGGAGCTCCTCTTCCTCTGTTTCCTCTGGAACTGTTTGATCGTCCTCTTCCGTGAGAGGAATTGAGTGCCTGATGGTCCGAAGATGTGTTTACTTCTTGATATAGCTCTGAAGATTGATCTCTTCACTGCTTAAAAGTGAATAGAGAGATTCTAGAGTGACGGGCTGCGGGGAGATTTGTATTGCCGCCTTAAACGGATTGTAGGATACTGGTAGACCCTTGAGTGTGTAGAGGATTATATCTTCCGTTTCGATGTGGCTTCCAGCGGCGGCAATGTTATCCACTATGGATTTGATTTTTGCTAGATATTGAGAGATGGTTTGATCTTTCATCTGAACAGTGTGCAGTTCATTTTTGAGCTGCAGGACCCGGGACCTGTTCGTCGGCTGCAGACGGAGTTCAAGTGCAGTCCAGATCTCATGAGAAGATCGCAGATGCAGAATGTATGGAAGTACTGAGGCAGAGATAGTGGAAAAGAGAGCTGATATTAAGTTCTGATCCACTAGAGTCCAGAGCTTGCGATCTTCTTCATTATCGGAAGCTGGAGGACAGGGAAGCGAGCCTGTGATGTAGCCTTCGAAGCCGTTTGCAGCAAAAGCTTGATAGATCTGAAGCCTCCATATTGGGTAGTTGTCGATAGAGAGGTGGGTGTGAACGATGTTTTTGAGATTGGACATCAGAAACTTTAAAGATGGAGGAATGACAGTGTTTGCAATGGAGGAGATTAGGGTAGAAGTCGTCCTTGACTGAGAGGACGAATTTTGCTCAGTTTCCGCCATTGACAGCAGGTTGAGCAGAAATACCCAGTATCACTGCTCTGATACCATGAAGAAGGACCTGTAGAGAGACAGAATGCAAATAGAGAAGAAGAACATGAGAAGCAACCAAAGCTTAATATTGTATTTCCATAGCATGGTTTGTACAGGAAATGTTGCTTATATAAGCTTGGTAGAAGACGGTTCGTTGTGTTGCAGGGAGAAGGCTGCCGCTGCAGCTGTGGACGGCAATTACTCTGCACAGGTGACAGACGATCGTGAGAAATGATTTTCTCCGGTAAGTTGTGTCTCCGGCACACGTTATGGTATGCTAACACCCTATCTATTAAACAAATTGATCTGTAATTAATTTTTCTGCTTGAAAAGTTGAAGAGCTACTTCAAATATGGTTAGGCATTTTTGGGGTGGCTTATGCTT